GCTGTCAAACGATTAATCGCATCCAAAATAAAAGTTTTTGTTTACATAATATGTGTGTGTACTGTGTATATATTTATTATGTTTATATACACACACATGCATACACACACATGCATGTTTATATTTAAGAAAAACATTTTGTTTATATATAAAATATTTATATATAATATAAACATATATATATATATACATGTAAATATTTAAAAAATATATACATTGCACTTTTAAGCTATTTAAAAGCGAAGGAAAACGAGGAAAAGAGGGAAAATTCAAACGAACTAAAAACAAACAATTTCTTTACTCCGAATTGCCGCTATTTGAAGGTGAAAGTAAAATGCGCACACTGCTTTTACAAGCTATTTAAAAGCGAAGGAAAGCGAGGAAAAGAGGGAACGCCCCCGCGGTGATACCGGTATTACCGGTGTTGTCACATGTCGATTAACCGGTGGGAAAATTTCCTCAACGTCACAACCCTAGTATGTTTATGTATTTATATATACATAATAAATATACACACTACACACGCATATATTATATAAACAAAAACTTTTATTTTTGTTGCGATTAAACGCGATTAATCGTTTAAAAGCACTAGTTGTTATGTGAAAAAAAAAAATAATTACACACTGCAGCTTTTAAAGGGCCAGACCCCAGGTTACATTGTCCACCTAATAAAATCTTTCGTCAGACCAGAAGAATAAAACCTCCATTCATACCTCACGCTCACAACTCAAGACTGATAGAATTGTTCCTTTGTGTGGTTTATGCCATATATTTCAGCCTCATGATATATTTACAACATGTGTGTGCTTGCCACACCTTATGTTCTGTGTATGTTTTTGTGTTTTATTCTCATAAATACATCACTGCACTGATTTTGTTCAGTAAGCATATCCTGTCATTTTTGCTTCATGTCGTGTGCGGTTTATTTGCGCATCTATCACATATGTGTTTTATCATGCTTCTATTTTTTGTTCTTTCCTCTTTCAGTTATGTCTGGTAAGTTGCAAATGTCACCCGTCACCATTTTTGCTGCATTGACAGCAACAGGAAGTTGTCAGAACCACCATCCATCCACCTTCCATCCTCCCACCAATCAGCACGCTTGTCTGGGTTGTCACCGGCAACAGTGACAGCACAGCAGGCCTGGGTAAAACTAATGCTCGTTCTGAGCGTGCAAGGTAACGTTAAAATCGCCTCATTTTATTCTCACTTAGTTGAAAGTTCTTCCTTTATTCCTCTGGAAGCATTACAGCTGTATATGATTTGACAGGTTTAAGATTGGTTTAGTGGTTAAAGGAAGTGCTGGCGGTGTATGTGGCGCTCGCCGTCGTAGGGGGTCGTACTTTGTGTCACATATTATGAACATATTCATCCTTATTACAAGCTGAAATAGCTCCATGCTGTTATGGACACTGAAGTCGAGTTTGCATCAGAAATCAGCGCCTCTCCACCCCGAGACAGAGTTTGTCATTAAGATGCATGAAAAACCTGCATCCCACACGATGCAAGTGCCGTTAAAGAGTGTCAGTATGGGACAGATGGCCCAAATTTATCCCCCATCTCCACGTAAATTTTATTGCTTTGTGCAAGGGTCCATGCAAATGAAGCAGACGTAGCGCTCATGCCATTTTGCATTGCGTCTACATCTGTTTTTATGTTTCGGCATACCTGCACCTCCGTCCATTAAACAGCAGTATGACGTTCTCTTTTATGGCCTGCCGTTAATGTGACACTGAAGGGTTGAGCTCCAGTGTATTTATTGTATTCGCAAGAAATTCGACTGATGTCAAAGACCTCCTGAAATCAAAATGAAAGATTTGTTAGACTTTGTCTTCTAGGACCAAAAATGTTTGTCAAATCCAGTGCTCTCTAGAATGAGAATGTCACAGCTGCGTCTGTGATGTAAACGAAAGATTATTGACCCAACTAAAAATATTGTTTTAATAGAAAATATGTCAATACAGGAAAGAAAACTGTGCTTTTCATAGCATTGTTTAAAGAAATTTTAAGATAGAAATGTTTTGCTACAAGCCATGAATAGAAAATAATTTTGATAAAATTGCATTTACAGTAATGCACTTACATTGGAAGTTTAATAATGTTATGTATGTACTGTGTGTGTTGTGTGTGTGTGTGTGTGTGTGTGTGTGTGTGTGTGTGTATTAAGCAGCACAATTGTTTTCAAGATTGATAATAATAATAATAAAAAATTTTGAGCAGCAAATCAGATTATTAGAATGATTTCTGCAGCATCATGTGACACTGAAGACTGGAGTAATGATGCTGAAAATTCAGCTTTGCCTTTATAGAAATAAATTACATTTTAACATATATTGCAGAAGAAAATAGTTATTTTAAATGTATAAATTTTATATACTATATACATAGAAGAGTAGTCCCACTGCAAGAACAATGATTTCATAAATTACAAATAAATACTTTATAAATTAAAATCTGTTTACACTGTCTTTAACGTCATGCTCCATAGACTTCCATTGTAAGTGCATTAATGTGAATGAGTTTTTGTTTGTTTTTACATGCCAAGGGTCAAAATTGCTGTCTTTGGTAATTGATTGATTTAACTCATATTCTTGCAGTTCCTCCTGTGTTTGTGGTGCGACCCAGGAATCAAGTGGTCAGTATGGGTCGCACCGTGACCTTTCAATGCGAAGCCACAGGAAGTCCTCAGCCTGCCATTTTTTGGCAGAAAGAAGGCAGTCAGGTGAGAATGTTTGTGTTTTCACTTGTGGTACGAAGATGCATTTCCTTAGCGCACTTTTACAGTAACATATCAAATGCATGGCACTCTTCCCCATTAAAGTCAGATTTATGAGGCTGGCAGATTTATAATTTACACACATCTAATGGGCTCTGTAACACTCCACACCTCTAACACACCTCAGGTCATCTTGGTTTGATCAATATCTCTCATCACACACACAGGAATTCAGGCACACCGTGCCATTAGTAAGTGTGAACGTGCAAGTCCTGACAAGGTGTTTATTTCTCACACACTGAATATTCTTGGAGTAATTAGTGTTTATGTTTTTATATATTTATCATATTCTACCTCTATTCATATATCTTTTTCCTCTTTCCCCTCTCCAGAACCTTCTGTTTTCTTCTCAACCTCCTCCACCTTCCAGTCGATTCTCTGTCTCTCAGACGGGCGATCTGACCATCACAGCAGTGGAGCGTTCAGACGGAGGCTACTACAGCTGTCAGGCTTTGAACATCGCTGGCAGTGTGATCACCAAAGCCCTGCTGGAGGTTACAGACGGTGAGATGGACGCACTCAGTACAGATGAGGCCTTAGTGAACGCAAAAGTGCTTATGTGCATACATTTTTGACACTCAGTTTAAGGGAAGTTTATTTAATTTTATTTAATTTAATTTAATTTAATTTAATTTAATTTAATTTAATTTAATTTAATTTAATTTAATTTAATTTTATTTAATTTTATTTTATTTTATTTTATTTATTTTTTTATGAAATATTTTGTACTGATTGCAATATACTGTATTAGTAGCTTAATTTTGCACTGTAAATGCCTTTAACGTTATATTACTTATGGATTTATTTGTAAAACCCATATGACCCGTTCCCTGATGGGCATTGTAAAGATAAAGAGTGAACTTTCTGCTGTTACTCATAGATTTCTGGTTTCATGTAGCCATGTCAAATGTTTTGACATTACAGCACAATGCAGTTCAGAGGTGTTTTTTGCCAGGATGCAACTAATTTTACTTTATCACATTTTAATATTGTAATATTCTTTTTTTGTAAATATCATGAGTGATGTAAGTGATGAAGTCAGTCAGTACTGAACTCAGTAACTCCTCTGAACGATTCGCTGGGCGAAAAAGTTTGACTCGGCAGTGAGTTTGAGACTGTTTCATGAATCTTTTAGACTGAATCATTAAAAAGAACCGGTTCATAAGAGTCATTTTTTGGCTAAATAGACATCACAGCTCATGCTGTTCATACTTGCATGCGGACATTGACACGCACTGTATAAAGGCAAAAAGCTGTTAAATATTTGTGGCTGGACGTAAAATTTTGGTTTAAAATTAACCATAGTTCCCATATTCAATGCAAATAACAATATTTTATAAGAAATACACACATTACTCCAACACTGATTACTCCATATGTTCAAATTCACAGAATAGTAGACACTTCAACAGAATAGTGACGGTTCGGCAGTTCACTCTCATCCAACATAATCTCCTTTAAGTGCCATCTCTAAAAAAACAAAAAAAAAAACACCAAAGCAAGACAAAGAGAATGAGAGTGAGGTAAAGAAAGAATAATAACAGTTATTTTAGCGCCAGTCTGCTCTATGGCCTCACTCTTACAGCGGGCACGGAGTGTAATTCCAGGTCACCGCCACGATGATTCAGTAATTACAGCAGCAGTGATGCTAGGACACAACTATGTGTGCACGAACATGTCATGTGATACATAATTCATCCCTTTGATGGTCCTTACAAAAGTGTTGTAGGGCTTTGAAAACGCGCTGTAGTGGCAGTTATGCAAATTGCAGCCGTATAAATGGCGGTAATGCTTCTAGCGATGTCGAACACAATCAGATGGACGTAAACATCGCTGTGTTCACTACAATTAGATGGCCCAGGTTTGCTGTTAGAGAGAAGAGGACACGGCAGGGGGGCGATTGTAATAGATGTGGGGCATTTCGGTGTGTTTTAGTGTGGTGATGATGGCCGGTGTGTGTGAGGGAGGTTTAGTGCTATTGAAATGCCGCTGGTATTAATTGCTCGTCTCTAGTTTGGCTTCACTCTGCTACTGCTGGTGACTGATTAGAAAATTGCTTCCAGTTGAAAAAATTGGATTCCATCTCTATTTCTCTCTCTTTGGTTCTTAAAACATGTACTCAGCTCGTTTGCTGCCAGACATTCCACTCTCACATGCTCTTTTTCCTTGGTTACATTTATTTTTATTTGCATTCTTCGTTCTCTTTACCTCTTTACCGTACACGCACTCGCTTCTTATAAAATGTGGAAGGATGTATTTTGGATTTTGGTTTGGAGTACAGTAGTGTTTTATTATAGTTATTATAATGATATTAGTAGGTCTGGGACAGCTTTACGACTCTCTTTGTCTCATTCTTTCTTTCGGTCTCTCAGTTTTAGTTTAATGTATTTTGGTGGCATTATAGAGCATTTACATTCATATCGCCAAACATTTTGCAGCTTGCTTTTGCAGCAAACATTAGCTGCATGCATAGAATATTTTATTTTATATTTTATTTTATTCCGCAGATGCTTTTATCAAAAGGGAATGAGGAATACAACAAAGCAATTTATCTTTATCATTTTATTTAGTCTTATTATATTTTAAAAACAAATACAAGAGAAAAAAATAACAAGAAAGAGGAAAAAAAACAATGTTAAGAATTTCTATTTATTATGAGGAATACAGCAAAGTGATTCATCTTAAAGCGGTTCATTTTCATTTTATTTTATTATTTTATTTTAAAAATTAAGGCAAAGAAAAAGGAACAATGATAAGAAAAATAATGTTAATAATTTAATTATGTAATAATTTAATAATGTAATTAAATTTTTAATTACAAGGAATACAACAAAGTGATTCATTTATTTTTATTTTATTTTAGAAATAAAGGCAAGGAAAAAGTAACAAGGAAGAGGGAAAAAATTATATTAATAATTTGTGATTTATTATTTAGAAATAAAGGCAATGAAAATAAAGTAATAAGGTCTAGATATTAATAATATAAGTAACAGTGGCAGCATACAATTAAATAAAATATAAAGCAAATACAAATAAATAAATAAATATTTAACATTAATAAAGATTGGGAATACATTTTTTTTAATGTTGTTATACTTTTATACTCTTAAACAAGGAAGTGATTGGTTTCTCTCCGTCTGTCTCTTTCTCAGTGATCTCAGACAGACCTCCACCCGTCGTCCGCCAGGGTCCCACCAACCAGACCGTGGCTGTGGACGGGACGGTGGTCCTGGGATGCCAAGCCACCGGCACGCCGACTCCTACCATCCTGTGGAGGAAAGACGGTGTCCTGGTGTCCACCCACGACTCTCGCCTCAAACAGCTGGACACGGGAGCCCTGCAGATCCGTTACGCTAAGGTACGGTGGCTCTGATGGTCAGAACCACATCAAAGCCTGACATGTTTATCATGCAGATAAATGTACAATAACAGGGGACGTGACTCCGGTTCATGGGAACCTTTTCCTTTCGTGGATTTATAACTTTGTAACTGCTCTCTGACCCTCGTGATGCATTAAAAACGCTCACGTGTGGAGGTTTGAGCATGAACAACAACCAACTTGTTCTCGTAAAGTACTGTTTCCCTTGTTCGGTTTTCCTTAGTAATGGATTTTTATGGAATTTTCCATTCCAAACACACCACACAGAACAACTATTTACAGGGCAGAATCTTGAGCAGTTTTGTGCCGTGCCGCTCGTCTCAGACCCAGCACCTTGCGTTAATTTTTATTAATATTTTATTCATGGAGGTTTCTGAATGCGGCAGGGTGGTTTATTGTTGTGGTCTCATTATTTTTGGGCCTCACTGTAAATACATTAAAAAATATATAGGTCTGAAGTATTGTTGCAGTATAGCTATACTGATATATAATCATACATCCTTAATTAATCATTTAAATTTGCTAATGATTGCAAAGCATGCATAATATCATGTGTATGCATGCACCTTTGAAGGTTTGTGCTTTTGTACGTGTGTGTAGTACACCATCAGACAGGCTTTCCTTTCATCCCTCACTACAGCACAAACATCATCATCTCCAGTGTTCAGAGAGCCGTCACTCAGCCTGCAGGTTTTGATGTGTGAACCACACACCCCTCGTGATGCATTAAAAACGCTCACGTGTGGAGGTTTGAGCATGAACAACAACCAACTTGTTCTCGTAAAGTACTGTTTCCCTTGTTCGGTTTTCCTTAGTAATGGATTTTTATGGAATTTTCCATTCCAAACACACCACACAGAACAACTATTTACAGGGCAGAATCTTGAGCAGTTTTGTGCCGTGCCGCTCGTCTCAGACCCAGCACCTTGCGTTAATTTTTATTAATATTTTATTCATGGAGGTTTCTGAATGCGGCAGGGTGGTTTATTGGATGCGGTTAGCTGCTGTTTCTTTCTGAGCTGAAGTTGGCAGATCGTTTTTTTGAGGCGTTAGCTGTTTTATTCCTGGATATCTGAGGCAGCACTGCAGGATTCACTGACAGATTCAAAATCTTAGCTCCCTTTATAAAAAAATATTTAGTTTTTTATTTTATTTTCATACGTTTGGGTAACATTTCCGCAGATTTACCACATACTAGTTGTTTGCAAGGGCATACATTCCCACAAAATGATTACCATGATAAAAATGTGACTTTTTATTAACATTTTTTGTTGATTATTTTATTTTATTAACCTTGTTAGCTTTATTAAAGTTCATTAATGAGACTCTGTACTGAAAATGATTTTCATTTATTATTTTAATTGTTGTAATTTAATTTTATTTAAAACATAATTAAAAAAGAAAAATAAACGTAATTTAAAGGGATTTTTTTCCCTATTGCCAAATATTTAGTTTTTCTTTAAGCATAAAACTCACTAATTTTGTCAGATTTCTGTGAAAACGAGACTTAATATCTCATTAATATTTCATATAATATCATATCTCATCTGGCAGTTTGCTTCTCAAGTGAATTGATTTTGTTTTAAGGATGTTTTGATGTCTCTTTTTTTTTTTAAATAATTAATCTTTCCTTTTATTAACTAGATTTTGAATCCCATATTTACAGTGTGAAATCCTTTGTAAATTAATAAAAAATACAGGTCTAAAGTATTAATGCAGTATAGCTATACTGGTAAAAAAAAAAATATAACCACACACTCCTGCTGTCACCCCCCCATCAGCTGTGAGCGGGAGGGGAGCGTTTCCTGTCACCGCACACACACACACACACACACACGAGCGCCCGGGTTCCCCCTGCACGGGGGTCAAAGGTCCCCGCAGTGTGGGCTGTCAGAATACGACTTTAATTAACGTAGATATCTCACTTGATGACGTCTCGCTTCTTTTAAAGAATAGAGGAGAGATAAAGCGAAATGAGGAGATGCATCTCTATCTGTTGCGCTTCGGGCGGTCCGCAGTAATGAACATGTCATTAAGTGAACACACGCACACCAGTAGCTTGAGATAGACTGTCTATTTCTGGTGACTTTCATACCGCCTGCGTAAATTGACTGATAGATCAACTGACGTTCTTAAATGTGTCCTTATTTTCCTTAAGATATTAGCATACACCAGGGTTCCTCAATTAGTTTTCGCCGAGGGCCGAATTCTGCCAACAATACCAAGCCAAGGGCCACTGACATATATATATAATTGTTATCATTATTACAATTATTATATTATTGTTGCTTTTGTTAAAATAATCAAAAGATGAATATTCAGATTTTTTTTCCCAGTAGTCTGTTATGAAAAATTATGAACATTTTTGCATTTAGATACAGAAGAACTTTGCCTGTTGAATATTAAAAACAACAGAACAAATGTCTGCCATGCAAATCAACTGTTCCTGCTCGTCCCCGGACTGGATCTCTTCTCTCCACTATCCCTAATTGCAGATTCAATTATTAGATTTGTCAGTATTAATATGTTTATGCTTAGATTTTTTTGGGGGGGATCAAACTCTAACACTGTGTGTCCCAACCAGACACGACACGATAAAAAGTATCTTTTCCTTGTAGTTTTTGTATTAACCAACAGCGAGAGCGACACGTGACAATAAGCGACATGGGATTCTATTTTAGGAACGGTTTTTATTTTCTGCGACGTCGCGGCAGGAACAGTTTACTGTCGGGGATTTGTCGTGTCGCGCCGCATCCAAGACAGCATCACTGATTATAAGGAGTTCTTGTATTTTATTGCGTCGCGCCGCGTCGCTCGTGTCTGGTGTAGACACGATGTAAGTTAATGTAGCTTTCTGGTGCTGCGTTTGAATTTTCATGCCACATTATTTGAAATTAGTGCGGGCCAAACTTTTTTCTCTCACGGGCCGGATGTGGCCCGAGGGCCGCCTATTGAGGAACCCTGGTGTAGCTAACAAACTGGTAAGATTTTAAAACAGTTTTGTCTTAAATAAATATCTTTTATCACCTTAATTAATTATGTGGTGAAATGTTGTGTAATAAGTGGTTATGTCTGCACCGTTTCCCTTAAATGTCCATCTAGTTTGAACTTGCCGCTTGCTCGCAACTGCTATCTTCACGGAAGCTTTGCGTTCAAATATTTCAACTCAAATCAATATTTTGTGTCTAATTATTTACTTATGTGGCAAGTAACCGCGTAATAAGCGGGATAATGTACATCCAGCCGGTTGTTATTGCAGAATAACCCCCTTCAGGGTGATACAAGACTACCCTGAGCGGGGGTTATTCTGTGATAACAACTGGCTGGATGTACATTTTCTTACTTATTATCATTCTGTGCTAAGAAAGCGCTGTCTAGGAACATAAATGTAAATGTTCATATATGTCTATTAGTCTTTTTTTCTGTCTTTGACCAAGCTGTTTATTTATTCGTTAATTCATTTAAATAATCATTTTGATTACCTAGTAAGTCCTAAAATTAACTACAGGTTTGGGAAAACTATTATTTTATTTTTATTTGATATATTCTTATATGTCTTTTTTTCTCTCTAAACAATTAATTAATTAATTCATTCATTCATTCATTTTAAACATATTTTTTATGTTAAGTCATCCAAATTTTTTTTTATTTTATTTTATTTTAATATTTTATTTTATTAATTTTTTTGCTATTTTGTTTGCAAATGCTATTGGTGCAAAAATTCCACATGCCACCTTTACATATTATATTAGTATACATCTGATTATCATCTTAAAAATCAGATTTTCATACATTCTGAATAGTGAACATTGCAAAAATATCTGCTCAACGTAATTTTAGCGATGTATTACATACGAGTGGACAAAAAATGCATCTTCAATATGAAAGCGATACATTGACAATGTACACTGTGTATTTTGGTGTGAAATTACACTATAGTGTCAAACTAGGAGTTATTTTGGAGCTGAATGTAGAAAAAGTCGTTATTATCGTATATGCGTATGTATTTATTTGCATTAATAGAGGGATTTTTTCCTCATTTCAGCTGGGAGACACTGGCATGTACACCTGCACCGCGTCCACCCCCAGCGGAGAGGCGTCCTGGAAAGCTTACCTGGAGGTGCAAGGTACGACAGAGACACCGACCGCAAGATAACAGACAATAGAGAGAGAGGCGTTGAGAAACGGACGACAGGAAATTAAGTTTAAAATTGAGTTTGAAATTAAACCTTCATCTGACTGTAATTGGTTTTCATTGTTTCTTGATGCAAATTTGAGCCGCTGCACTGCAAAAAATTATTTTGTTTCTCAGTATTTTTGTCTTGTTTTCCAATATAAATAACTGAATGTCCTTAAAGCAAAATACATGTATGCTAATGGTGTGAGAAAAATAAACGTGATTCAATGGACAAATAAGTTTATTATGTAGACAAAATACTTCCAAGGCACTCACGTGGTAAGATAAAAAGCCTTTAATGAACTGGGCTTAAATCATTACAACTAGTTAAAAGTAGATCTACGCGTTTCGGCAAAACAGCCTTCTTCAGGACACACATCAATTGCTCAAATAGGTATTCTTAAACTAGTGTTAATTAATGAATCATCAAAGACAGCTGGTTAATATGTGGGTGTGGCTAAGACTACCCTCTTGTTACAAAGAGAGGAAAAAAAAAAGTAATAATAAAAAAATAATAATAATAATGGGGGAAAAAGGCTTTTTATCTTACCACGTGAGTGCCTTGGAAGTATTTTGTCTACATAATTTGATTGTTACCTCCATCACATCCAATGAGCACCAGTGGCTATATAAAGACACCCGTGTAGCACTCTCTGCTTCTGGTTCTTGTAAGAGTTGTTCTGGACAAATAAGTTTATTTATCCTATTGGCAAATATTTTTTTCTTTCGATGTTAAGCATAAAGCTTGCAGAATTGTTTTCTTTTTCCAAAAACATTACTTAATACCTCTTTAATATTTCATATAATGTCTCATATTGCATATGGTCCTTTGCTTCCCAAGTAAATTGACCTTGTTTTAAGGATCTTTAGATATTTATTTATTTAATTTTAAGGTTATTTAGACTAGACAAAAATACTTTTTTTTTTTCCTTCGGTTTTTGGGTATAATGTTCTTATGTGTGTTTATGGTTTCAGAGTTTGGTGCTCCGGCTCAGCCGGGTCGACCCACAGATCCCAACCTCATCCCCAGCGCCCCCTTCAAACCAGAGGTCACGGATGTCAGCCGCACCTCTGTGTCTCTGTCCTGGAAGCCCAACCTGAACTCTGGAGCCACGCCCACCTCTTACGTCATAGAAGCCTTCAGGTGACATCATCAGTTTTGAGCATACTTATCTATCATTGGTGGATTTGGTTGAACGAGCGTGTGTTTTACAAACGTTTGTAAATAGCGTTCACAGGCTAATAGGGGTTCTGTAAATACCCAGTCCATTTACTGCGGCGTGTCATAAATAATCATACCCATGTCCGTGCTTTCCTGAAAGCATTTTTCCTCATTGTTTGGGATAATGTTTGTAGTTGCGATATTTCGCTATAAAGTTTGGGCCGCAGGGTAAACTGAAGTTTGATTTGTGTGGTGTGGACGGCAGCCATGCGGCGGGCAGCAGCTGGCAGACGCTGGCGGATCACGTGAAGACGGAGAGCTTCGTCCTAAAGGGTCTGAAGCCCAGTGCCATCTACCTGTTCCTGGTGAGAGCGGCTAATGCGTACGGCCTGAGTGACCCGAGCCCCATCAGCGACGCTGTCAAAACACAAGGTCAGTTTACCTTTGACCTCCCGGACAAGTGTCTTTTCATGATTTTTAAATATTGCACCCGTGAGAATTATGAAATTTATCACTCTTTTGTGTATTATTCTGGGGTATTTGGTATTCATATATGCTTGTGCTCCATATTTTCTGTGTGGTTTGTGTTTATGTGAGTAGACGTCCCACCAACCAGTCAGGGAGTGGACCACGGGCAGATCCAGAGGGAGCTGGGAGATGTTGTCATTCACCTCCACAATCCCACAATTCTCTCCTCGTCATCTGTCAGAGTCCAGTGGACTGTGAGTGCTGCCACATCTTCTTTTAAAGGGACAGTTCACTCAAAAATGAACATTCTGTTTAAAGTTTAGTCACAACTTGGCATGTTATTCAAATTATCTCACTGGAAAAATGCAGTTTTAATCAGTGCTTTATCTTGTTTTTCAGTGAAATACTGTATCTAAACATCCTAAAAGTAAGATATACTTTATTGAAAATCACAAGTTTGTACGATAATTATTTATTTAAAGAGAATATTTATTCAGTTAAGTAAATAACTCACTGAAAAATTACACTGAAAAATTGCTCTTTAGTTTGTTTTAAGCATAAATTTCACTTTTTTTCATTTTATGTGGCACTGAACAAATGCATTTAGTGTTAATTAAACAGTATGTCGTAAACATCTGAAATCGAGGTTAATTCTGTACAGATTTTCACCCCACAAACACATGCACGCACAAACAGAAATATTCCCAGCATGTTACTTTTTTTAACATTTTGGGTCGTTCGCACTTTATACGTATTTAATCAGAAACAGCTGAAACGACATCTGCTTTTATTGGGGCGGATCAAGAATTGATTAAAATCTTTACAAGCGTGTACAGTTCTCCTCCCTCCACGGCCATATGGACTGATCCCAGTGTGCTGAACACCTCCAATATGAAAATCACTTCACATAAGAAGTCAACAGAAGCTCAAATCTGAATCTTCGATGTTGAGTTTGCATATAGGATAAGTATGTCAACGCACAAAGCCACAAAACAAGGTTTTCTTCCAAAATGTTAGAAATATTGCAATAAAAAATGAAAATATTTAGGTAAAAACATTAATGCCTGGGCTTACAGTTATACGCTTTGTTAGTAATTGTAATAGTTACAGTACATTATAATACTTAACTATGTTAGTATAAAAGATGTCTAATAATAAAGCATAGTTTGGCTAACTAGTAACAAATGTCTTAAAACTGGCTGTCTTTAAAGCTTCCTGGTCCTGGATAATGCTAGTGGTAATCATTAGCAGGCGTTTAAAACATGTAAGTGTTTTTGTGCTTCAGTTTTGCCTTGTTCTTCCTCTAGGTTGAGCAGCAGTCTCAGTACATTCAGGGCTATAAGGTGATGTACCGGCCGTCCCCAGAGGGCGCTCAGCAACGGGTGGAATGGGCCATGTTTGAGGTTCGAACCCTGGGGGAGAACAGCGCAGTCGTCACCCAGCTCAAGAAGGGCGTGACCTATGAGTTCAAAGTCCGACCTTTCTTCAATGAGTTCCAAGGCACCGACAGCGACATCAAAGTGGGCAAGACCCTGGAGGAAGGTGACTGTGCTCTGTGTGCTTTAAAGCTTAATGTCCCACGATTCCTTTCTCGTTCACTTCACAGAAGTCACAATACAAAGTCATATGAAGTGAACAGTTGCTGCCTTGCATGTCTGAATATTTGGGTTTCGGACATGGTGTTGCGTATGTATATATGTGTGTGTGTGTGTGTGTGTGTGTGTGTGTGTGTGTATGGAATGTATAAAAGAATATACGCAGTCCTGGATAAGCAGTGGAAAATGGATGGTTGGATGGATCAAATAAAAATAATTTTATAAAATGTAAAAAAATATAAATTATAAATATTTTTAAACTTACAGCCCTGGCATCATTTGAATTTCTGGATTTGGTTCGATCAAGGTTTTTGGATTAGATTTCGGACAAGGTTTCAGTCAGATTTTTCATGCTTAATTTTTCAATTTTAGGTTCACATATGGTTAAAATATAATATCAAAATAAAATAATAAAATAATATTATAAGTACTTTTTTACGTTTGTTTTGGACAAGGTTTTAGTAAGTTTTTTTCATGTGCAATTTTTATTTCAGGTTTACATTTTGTGAAATATACATTATAATAAAACACTTTTTATTTTTATTTTATTTAAATTATAATAAAATACAAAAAAATGATCATACATTGCATAAATTGAATATAAATTATTCTAAATATTTTTGCATTCACATTCCTGGGCGAAATCAATCAGTTTTGCATTTTGCATTTGCGCCTGGGTGTACCCGCTCAGACAGGAAATAGAAAGACATTGAGTTTATTTTTGGGTTTGGCTTGATCACATTTACAGGCTACATTCAGGCTTTCTGCATGCCCGTGCAGACCTCTAGAGTAAGAAAGGCTTTCCCCTGCATTCAGTACTTCTCATTTATGTTAACGTGTGGTCTGCGGCCCACGAGGGAGGGCAAAGAGGGCCGTTTAAAATGCTTCACGAAAGCCAAGCAGCCAACGAGAAGCCAAAAACCGAAAGCTCAAACAACTGCTGTGCTAATTGTTCTGAGGGTGTGGCGTCTGTGGCTCTGGAGAACGCCAGCCATTTGGTTTGTTCCAAATTTGCCTGTGTGTGTGTGTGCGCCTGCTTTTTTATGTAATTGAAATGCAAAACGTCAGAGACAGCAAACACAAAGCAAATGTTTCACTTCAGGGCTTTGTGTTAACATTCATGTATTAAGTGGATAATAGTTATGTGAAGTGAAGTACAGTGACAACATTCTGTTCGCCCTGAGCTCAAGCATTCGTTCTGCTGGTATTTGGCACTGGGACGGCCTAATCATGTTGCTTGGCAGTCGCCTCTCATTATTTAAGTGCACTAATACCACTGAGTGTGTACTATTAAAAGTTTCAGAGAACACACATACACACACACATATAGCCCATATGCGTGTGTGCATAATGTTTATATATGCACACATGCACATGTGAAATTTAAGGTGTTAAAAAGGCATATATGCACATGCAAAACACACGTGTATATTGTAAGCTGTGTGTAACATCCCGCTCGTGTCTCTTATTGCAGCGCCCAGCGCCGCTCCCAGGGGGGTCACCGTAACGGGAAGCGGAGACAACAGCACAGCTATTCTGGTATCCTGGCAACCGCCCCCAGAGGAGGAGCAGAACGGCGTGGTGCAGGAGTATAAGGTACGAACCTAAGGAAACAGACAATGAGAGAGAGAGACAAAGAGTGTATGAAAAAACAGAATGAAGGATGGTAGTAGAAGTAGGAAATAGGTGGAAGAGGAAATTACATTTACTGGCTTATGCTCCATTCATTTTATGATGTGCTGCTGAATGAGTGGTGAGAGTGTAGTGGATAATGGGGTTGATTTTCATTGGGGGGAATTTAGATGTTGTGACATGCTGCCACCTAGTGGTTCATCTGGAGCATTACCACAACTTCTGCCAGATAGATGTGCTCATAGGGAATATAGTAATTTGTGTGGCTCTTTTGATTTGACTTATTTTCTGTGTGTGTGTATATAAATTATTAAATATTATTATATAAATGTGTATATAATTATTACATTCTATATTTTTATATATATATATATATATATATAAATTATTATATAATTATTAAATTATATATTATAAAATTATATATACATATATTGCTATTAAGTATTTTTCCAAATGTAAATACAGCTAGTTTTCAAGTTTTTTTTTTTTAAACAAAGTACAATGTTGTATTGGTCGTTGTTTTGACAATATCCTTTTGATAAGGAGATTTTTGTTGATAAGTTGATTTTGATTAAGTAGAGTGCGAAATGTTACCTTATGAACAAGCTATGATATTTTTTTTCTTAAGATAGTTATGTGAGAATTATAAATAATTTTTTTTAGATGCTTTGTGTCTTTTAGTGTCCGCTTTTTGTATTTGTAGTCATACGCAATCGTACATACTAGCAGATATAACTGTGGCAACAATTTCCTAGCTATCTTCCATTCTTTCTCTTTATTTATGTTCTTTCTGCGTGTCTTCATGTGCTTTTCATGTCCAAACAAGATGACAGAGCCCATCTCATCCAATATTCCTCTCAGGTGCTGAAATTTTAATGGCTTTGCGGTGTATCAGTATTTAGTTCGTAGGCCGCGTCTGACGGGAAGAGGCGCGGTTTGAGTCGTTCAATCCCAGTTAATTTTCCAGGTAAATGTTTTCAGGCAGTTGAAGGAAGGTAGTGATTAATTTCATGCTTGTTAAATTGGGCGGAGGAGGATTTTTCGCTAATCACTTTTCTTGTACACTTATTTTTTTCTGCCCCATTGTGCCTCAGGAGAACTTCAGAACCCTCAGAACGTCCCCGCTCGTTACCTCACTTTCTCTCTTTCGACCCATAATCCACTTTTTTTTTTCCTCCGAAGCCTTCAGGGATGTCTAAATCTAGTTAGCGTTTCCGAAAAAGGGGAAGTGAGCATAGAGAAACATGTAAAAAGCATTTTTTCTATACATCGTGTAGATCAGTGTGTTATTTCCATTCATACGCATGCAAATGCGTCAGACCGGAGACGCAAGCTCGTGTGAAAAGTTTTGCATTTTGCTGCGTTCCAAAGGATAAAAATCATATCTCAAAGGTTTCTTGCTGTTTTTGAAGGAGTTATGGTTGATGTGCCTAACTGGATGGTGAAATTGTGATGAAAGACAGATCCAGCAAGATAAATATTCGAATTTGAATCACGTGAAACCATGTAACCAACAGCAGATCGATACGTCACAGTATGACCTCGTAGCTGAATTAAAAGAACATACATTTTAAACTGCAGCGATGCAGGAAAGTGGAGTAGATTGTATGTTTTTACATTTTAGATGTATTATTATTTGTGTGTTGAATTTAAGTTTTAAAAAGACGCTGCAGAGCGTGACGTCATATCACGACTGTTGCAGCGTACGAAGAAATTTTGCATGCTCAAAATCTAGTGACCGTGGCTTTAGGCAGTCAGAGAGGGGCGAGATCACATTTCACTCCGGTGAATGGGCCCCCTGCCGGGCCTGTGATTGTGTTAGGGTGAGGGTGGCTGATGTGAGCTCTGGTCACACACAGGGTCGCACACACACTTTGACGCTCATTTGGTCAGCACAGCTGGCTGAGCTTCCCGAGAGGAGGAAACCGACCAGGGTTCAGTGCGCGCAATGAAAACAAAGAAAACTGCACTTTCATATCAGGGGAAATCAGACCTTTGACTTGAAGACGAAATGAGGGAATGTCAGTTCCACAGAGAGGGAGTGTTATTCTAGGTGGTGGATCTTGTTTGCATGACACCTTTCAACTTCAGTGCTACATGATAGCCTGCGAATTGATGCGGGAGGGCTGACGGTAACATTTAAATAGATTTACTTACCAACTTTGAGGAAACTCGTGCATTATTTTCAGACGATAAATATTTGTTTGTAACATTGATAAAGTTAGCGAAACAATTTGTCTATTTGTGCAAACACAAAAGTTTGGACACACTTTACTGAATTGATGTTTCTCATAATCTTATCAAAATATTTCGATAAAAACGTGTTTAAATATAATATTTTTAAACATGTATAATAATAATAAAAATATTATTATTAAGGTCATGTGAAGCATAATTTCAGTCAAGTGTGTCCAAACCTGTGTGTGAAAATATTATTACTGTTTATGCTTCGCATGATCTTAATAATAATAATAATAATAATAATGATAATAAATACTAATATTAATTGTTTTAATAGGCACTACATCATTACTATATTTCAATTTGTGTTATTTCATAGTTTTAAAGACTTTTAAAGACTTGAAGACAATTAAAATGTGCAAAATAGTAATCATAAAGCAGGCGTGACCAAACTTTTAGATTATGTTAGCATCACTTAAAAAGGTTCACTCTTTCAGAACAGACTTGTTATTCAACATAAATTATTTTTTATTAAGTGCTAACTGTCTGTCTCCCATCATGTTTTCTTTACTTTTCCCCCCTCAGATCTGGTGTCTTGGTAATGAAAGCCGATACCACATTAACCGCACAGTGGATGGATCCACACACTCGGTTTTGATTCCCGGCCTGGTTGCAGGGGTCACGTACAGGGTGGAGGTGGCAGCCAGCACAGGGGCCGGTCCCGGGGTGAAGAGCGAGGCTACATCCTTCCAGCTGGGTGAGTCGGACTGGGATGTTATTCTGGTTAACCGAGATTCTCGACTCTGCCGGACAGCTGTTATTCAACACTAGCAGCTAAAGAAGAGCCCAGTATGAATGGTTGATTCTCCAGATAACAGGTTACAGAAACACAACAAACACTCTGATAGCAGCTACCGGCCCGTTTTAACACCTGACTGTGTTATTATGATTGGAAATGTTCGTGATAATGGCCATTATTTTAGGCCTGCTCTTTATAAAACATACTGTTTAAGCTTGTGAATGGCACGGTTGTAACTTGCCTTGTGGTTAGCCATCTAAAAGTATGTAATTTACAAAAACAGCCTTATCAGAGTCCTCATTCTCATCCGAGAATAAAGGAGACGTCAAGTAAAGTGCAGTTTACTTTAGTGCCGCAGAGCCTTTAATTGCTTCAAGTTTATTTCTCCATTAACTTGCCAGCTTTAACTTGTTCAGCCTCGAGAAATAGGTGGCAGCGGTTAAACTGCACTGAATGGAAGTGATTGTGATGCAGCCTGGTGTTGTGCCAGTGGATAATAGGCCATCCGGTTATGCAAATCTGTTTTTAATAAGATGCCAATCACAGTGCTGTCAGAGACTAGTTTATAGTCAGTCATTTGACAGAAAGAGATTAAATGGCATTTTGAAACCCAGTTGGATGCACAAAGAGAGACTCATACAGTAAAGAAAAACAGATGATCAACTTTTAAACTTTTTTTAATAACTTAAGTATTTATTGTTCTCAATTTTAGAATTAGCTGGTTTTTAATAGTTATCACTATATTGATCAATATATAAATGTACACATTATTTGGTCAAGGGAGAGGTTTTTGTATCTGTTGCTTAAAAAGTAAAAATAATGTGCACTATTTGAAAAAGTAACTTTGGTATTATGAGATAAATGATCTTGGTTATCAGAAAGTATCATGGTAATTTTTCGCATTTTTCCAAGCAACTTACAAATGAGAAACAAAATCTAATTTTGTAGCATATTATTTGTTAAATGTTTCAATACTTCTCTTTTGAAAGTAAGATATGAGTGTTTTTTAATATTTAAAATTAATACTTTTATAATAAAAATTGATACTTTTATTCAGCAAGGACACATTTAATTGATCAAAAGTAACAGTAAAAACTCTTACATTGTTACAAAAGATTTCTATTTCAAATAAATGCTATTTGTTTGAACTTTTTATTCATCAAACAATCTAGGAATAAAAAGTGAATAAAAGATCACATTTTCCACAACAATATTAAGCATCACAATTGTTTTAACACTGATAACAATAAAAAAGAGTTTTTTTGAGCAGTAAATCAGCATATTAGAATGATTTCTGAAGGATCATGTGACTCTGAAGACTGGAGTAATGATGCTGAAAATTCAGCTTTTGCATCACAGAAATAAATTACATTTTAAGATTTATTAAAATAGAAAAGTTATTTTAAATTGTAATAATATTTTACAATATTACTGTTAGTTTTACTGTATTTTCGATCAAATAAATGAATAAGAGACTTAATTTAAAAACAATTAAAAAATCTTACCGACCCCAACTTTACTTGCTTTTGTTTTCATATGTTGAAATGAGTAGCATTATATTGCATTCTGGGTAATACCAGTACTTGTCCCCCATTGAAACATGTTTGGTAGCACCGGTTTGAACTGTAACCTCACATACAGATCCACAGTGGAGAGGCGCAGATTTCAGGCAGTCGGTTTGCTCCTGCATTGAAGTGCAGTGTGGGATGAATGCATGCTGCTCCTCTTGAACACTGTGACTGATCTGCTTCCATTCACTGCCGCTGATTCCCCTGCTGAGTGTGCTTCTGTGGCCTTACACTGCCGCCGGAAGCAGAGGACGCAGGTCTCAAAAGCATTCGTCACACCGTGGGCTTTCTTGCATCTCCGCATCCTACGCACCTGTCCTGTCCTGGCCTCTCAGCGGAGCCTCAGTCACAACCAAACAACAAACAAAACCTCTGAGACAGGAAGTACAGAGGACAGAGTCACAAAGACAGCAGGGAATACAGCGCGGTGCTCAGGTTTTGGGAGAACCTGTTTGCCCCCAGCTGGAAAAGAAGACAAAAACTGAACAGCGTCAAAAAGATGAAAGTGACGCCCACATGAAACGAACATGAAAAGATGAAAAAAAGAAGCAAGTCAACAGAATGAGATTTCTTCTAGGTCGACAGCACTAGTTTCTCTTTAATGTAAAAATAAGAAAGGGCAAACGAGAGAAAGCACAGAAGGGAAGATGCTTTTTTGGTTGCAGTTCTTCCAGATAGCATCTTGTCATTCATAATTCATCTTTTACATAATATATAAATCACTTTTTACTGTCTATTCCAATTCTTATTCCGCTTCAAAGTCAGTATTTAGCTAAATTCTTTAGATACATTTTTTTATCATTATTCTTTTCTGTTGCTGTTTTATGTAGAATTATGTTTTTTTTTATATAATATCAAGTGTTATTTTTGACGTAAATATTTATTATTGCTGCTGTTGTCGTTACTATTATTATTATTATTAACAAATAAATATTTAACAAATCTGTGACCCTGGAGCACAAAACCAGTCTTAAGTCGCTGGGGTATATTTGTAGCAATAGCCAAAAATACATTGTATGGGTCAAAATTGTTGATTTTTCTTTTATGCCAAAAATCATTAGGATATTAAGTAAAGATCATGTTCCATGAAGATATTTTGTAAATTTCCTACCGTAAATATTTTAAAACTTAATTTTTGATTAGTAATATGCATTGCTAAGAACTTCATTTGCACAACTTTAAAGGTGATTTTCTCAATATTTTGATTTTCAAATAGTTGTATCTCGGCCAAATATTGTCCTATCCTAACAAACCATACATCAATGGAAAGCTTATTTATTCAGCTTTCAGATGATGTATAAATCTCAATTTCGAAAAATTGACCCTTATGACTGGTTTTGTGGTCCAGGGTCACGTTTAAAGGAGTATGTTGGGTTAAACAAGTTCTGTGACATGCAAAAAATAGTCTTATGATATAATGTTTATTTATTGATTTTTATTTATGCATTTATTAATTTATTATATATCTTTTTTATTTATTCAATACAATTATCTTTTAAATGTCTATTATATTAATTGGCTTTAATATTATATTTATTGATTTTTAATTGTCAATGCATTTTTTTTTTTCAAACTGGATTATGTACAAATGATTTCTTCTGAAATTGACAGCTTGCCACAGGTGTATTTCATCTAAAATATTTCTCTAATTATTGCATCAGTGACATGGTTTATATGAAATATTTGATGAACTTCTCTATCTGTATCATCTTTCTCTCAGACTCGTCAGGCCGTGTTCTTCCGCCGCCGCTGGACGATGACAATACGATTTCCCAGCAGATCTCAGACGTGGTGCGTCAGCCGGCCTTCATCGCGGGCATCGGCGCGGCCTGCTGGATCATCCTCATGGTCTTCAGCATCTGGCTGTACCGCCACCGTAAGAAGAGGAACGGCCTCAGCAGCAGCTACGCCGGCATCCGCAAAGGTCAGTCCAGCCCCTTTAAACTTGATTTCTCTTTTAGCACTGGTGCTATACAATTGATTTTACAGTGTATTCATATATAATGCTTTAAAAACATATAAAATATAACATCAGTGGGAGGTTAGTCACACCAACCTAATAATTATGAATCCCTGAGCTTTCATTAAGGAGGCGTGGCCTGTGTCTCATCTAAAACAGAAGAATTCCAGCTGATCTTTTAATATTGAGTTTGTGTGTTAGTCAGAGGCAGATGTTTAATCGTTTCATTATCAACTATCCTTTCTTTCGCTGGTAGTGTCTCTGGTGTAGTGTTTGGCCTCGAGCTGTGCAGCTGCTTGTGTTTTGCTTTGTAATCTCAGGTTTAATCCCAAACATCAGGCTCTTTTATTAAAGCTTGTGTGAGAATACTTTAGGTTTTGTGCGACTTACTCCCATTTTCCGAAATTAGATAAGCCCGATCACTGCTACAGAATTCATATTTTTTTCCTGTGCTCCCGTGTTTTAAAAAGCCGTTTCCTCTCTTGACCCTGATGATTCATGGCGGATCCTTTACAGTCTGAATTCAGAGCAGATTTTGCTTCCTTTCCGTTTTCTCTTTCATTGAAGAGATGACTGAGATGGTGAACGGAACAATGCCGTTTTTCCAATGTGCGTCTCAAGGACATGAAGCTAATGGAATGTTTATTGGCAGGAATCTAAAGGAAAAGATCCAAGCCATTCATTAGCGTTAGCATTCATAGACTCCCAAGGCTGGGCCGCATTCAAGTTAATTGAACGTGTCGACCACAAGAGCACAAAAAAGCCCAAATGAATATGTCCATTTTTCAAGGTTGAGAGCACCTGAATTCATTTACCAGGATGACTCGACAACATCTTGTTTCAGCAACCGCACAAGACTGACAGGCAGCTTTTAAAGAGACATTCTTTCTAAATGTTTGTGGAAATATATATATATATATATATATATATAACTATTTGCAAGGCTCAACATTGAGCTTTGCATGCGGATGTGTTTTTTTTTGCCTTGCAAACCTAAACATTATCCAGTCTAGTCGTCTCCTAGTCTAGTCTAGTCTAGTTAGTCTAGTCTTGGAAGCTTCAGTTATTAAGGTTGACAATTACAAACAAATTACTGTAAGCCACTGTTTTCCATCAGGAGTGTATTTATGAATTTATAGCTGTCTTGAAGTTAGCTGTTATTATTGGAAATTAAAAACCTACTAAATTATTT